TTGACAATGTACCAAAGCATGGCTAACTCACATAAACCTACAGAGCTAGTGGCAGGGTGCCAGCTTACTCACCATTAAAATCATACCATTAGAGGAAAGGAATAAAGGTTCTCAATTTTCAATATTTTATATGATTTTAGGAAATTAAAGCCTATTACTTTTGTTGGAGTGTGTAATACACTCTTCACTTTTTAAAAAAGATATGGTCTTGCTCCCTTGATTGGAAGATGTTCCTCTGCCCTCTCATTTTGCCAAATTTTTTGTGTTGTATTTGTATTAGGTATGCCAGCTGCATTTCCAGATATTGGAAAAGTGGCGTCACGGGGCTCAGCAACATGCTCCCCTGTGGTTACCAGAGCCACGTGCTGTGGAAGCGCCCCCTTCTGTGGCCGGGCAGCAACAGTGGGCACGCTGGAGGCAGGGCTGGCGCAGATGGCTGCTGGGTCTTCTTGCGCAGCGAGTGTGGGCCTGCTGGAGGTGGACTCATGTCTCTTTGGGGCTAGCTGCGCAGGCTGGGTCTGCGGGCCCTCTGGGCTGGTGTCAGCTCACTGGTAGGGAGGGGTAAAATAGACATTTTTACTGCTATTTTAAGAATGAAGAAAACAGGGCAGAGAGAAAGTAAACAATTTGTTTGGTATCACAGAGCCAGTAAATGAATATTACAATTCTGAGAACTGTTTCACCCAAACTTAAGCTCTTTCTGCTTTGCCACTTTGATTCTATTGACTGATAATCTTTCAACTAAGAAGGAGCATGATCTGATATTATTTGGCTCAATAATTAGGGGCAAGATAAAATAGTTAATAAATTATTAACAACAACAAGAATCTTACTCCTGGAATCTGTAGTTTTTTTGGAGCAGTCAAGCTAGCAAGAAAATATCTTGAAGGAGATGTGAATATAAGTGAAGATTGGGGTTTGAGAAGTTTTTCCACTTTTTCTCTAAATTCATGACCTGGAACAAAATGTTCCAATTTTATAATTGCATAAAATATTATTTTCAAAGAAAGGAAAGATTATGAAATGTGTTTTGAGCCACAAAGGTACTGAATTGTGTGTTTATGGTCAGAACTTCAGAGATGGTTTTTTTGATGAGCACTTACGAATTCATGGCTAGCAAGATTTTTGATGGTAATTTTCTGTAATTGGAATATTGACCAGCCTTGGTGAGTAAGAATACTTAGGATTTTTGAATCCTAGTAAAATATATTTACAGCTTGCAGACATTTGTCCTAACTGGGCAGCACACGTGGAAGATAATTGACAGGAAAGACTGGACTTAGAAAGAGGAGAGGGAAGTCAGAAGATAAGAAATTCATGAGAGGCACCTCCAAATTGAAGACCACCAGACATATGCTGGGACAAGAGACAGATCCAGGTTTCAGTTTTCAAGAATGTGAACATTTGAGAAAGAAAAACTTTGGAAAGGGTTAAGTCCAGGCTAAGACGATGTTAAAAAGCAAATGAAATGCAGAGATTGAATTTAAGTTGAAGACACTACAAACTCTTGTCTCTATGTGTTTTATAGGTTTGATTGAACAACAGTTGCATCATTTCTGCTACCTAATGTGTATGTGAATTTGAACAAACGTTTTAACTTTTCTGAACCTCACTTCTTCACCTGTGAGATCAGGATACTGATACATAACTTGTAATGTGGGTATAAAGATTCAGTTCAGTTCAGTTGCTCGTCATGTCCAACTCTTTCCAACCCCATGGACTGTTGCACTCCAGGCTTCCCTGTCCATCACCAACTCCCAGAGTTTACTCAAACTCATGTCCATCAAGTCAGTGATGCCATTCAACCATCTCATCCTCTGTCGTCCCCTTCTCTTCCTGCCTTCAATTTTTCCCAGAGTCAGGGTATTTTCCAATGAGTCAGTTCTTCCCATCAGCTGGCCAAGGTATTGAAGTTTCAGCTTCAGCGTCACTCCTTCCAATGAACATTCAGGACTGATTTCCTTTAGAATGGACTGGTTGGATCTCCTTGCAGTCCAAGGGACTCTCAAGAGTCTCCTCCAACAACACAATTCAAAAGCATCAATTCTTCGGCGCTCAGCTTTCTTTATAGTCCAACTCTCATATTCATACATGACTACTGGAAAAACCCATAGCTTTGACTAGATGGACCTTTGTTGGCAAAGTAATGTCTCTATTTTTTAATATGCTGGCTAGGTTGGTCATAACTTTCCTTCCAAGGAGCAAATATCTTTTAATTTCATGGCTGCAGTCACCATCTGCAATGATTTTGGAGCCCAAAAAAATAAGTCTTTCACTGTTTCCACTATTTCCCCATCTATTTGCCATGAAGTGATGGGACCAGATGCCATGATCTTAGTTTTCTGAATGTTGAGTTTTAAGCAAACTTTTTCATTTTCCTTTTTCACTTTCATTAAGAGACTTTAGTTCTTCTCTTTCTTCCATAAGGGTGGTGTCATCTGCATATCTGAGGTTATTGATATATCTCCCAGCAATCTTGATTCCAACTTGTGCTTCATCTAGCCCAGAATTTTGCATGATGTACTCTGCATAGAATTAAATAATCAGGGTGACAATATATATCCTTGATGTACTCTTTTCTTTCCCAATTTGTAATCAGTCTGTTGTTCCATGTCCAGTTCTAACTATTGATTCTTGACCTGCATACAGATATCTCAGGAGGCAGGTAAGGTGGTCTGGTATTCCAATCTCCTGAAGAATTTTCCACAGTTTGTTGTGATCCACACAGTCAAAGGCTTTGGCATAGTCAATAACGCAGAAGTAAATGTTTTTCTGGAACTCTCTTGTTTTGTGATGATCCAACGGATGTTGGCAATTTGATCTCTGGTTCCTCTGCCTTTTCTAAATCCAGCTTGAATATTTGGAAGTTTATGGTTCATATTCTGTTGAGGCCTCACTTGGAGAATTTGGGGCATTACTTTGCTAGGGTGTGAAATGAGTGCAGTTTTGTAGTGGTTTCAATATTCTTTGGCCTTTTCCTTCTTTGGGATTGGAATGAAAAGAAATCCTTTCCAGTCCTATGGCCACTGCTGAGTTTTCCAAATGTGCTGGCATATTGAGTGCAGCACTTTAACAGCATCATTTTTTTAGGATATGAAATGGCTCAGCTGGAATTCCATCACCTCCTCTAGCTTTGTCCATAGTGATGCTTCCTAAGGCCCAGCTGACTTCACACTCCAAGGTATCTGGCTCTAGGTGAGTGATCACACCATCGTGGTTATCTGGGTCATGATGATCTTTTTTGTATAGTTCTTCTGTGTATTCTTGCCACCTCTTCTTAATATCTTCTGCTTCTGTTAGGCCCATACCATTTCTGTCCTTTATTGTGCCCATCTTTGCATGAAATGTTCCCTTAGTATATCTAATCTTCTTGAAGAGATCTCTAGTCTTCCCCATTCTATTGTTTTCCCCTATTTCTTTGTATTGATCACTGCAGAAGGCTTTCTTATCTCTCCTTGCTATTCTTTGGAACTCTGCATTCAAATAGGTATATCTTTCCTTTTCTCCTTTGCCTTTAGCTTCCCTTCTTTTCTCAGCATTTGTAAGACCTCCTGAGTTGAAATAGGCTTGACCATTTCTTAGATCTTGAGTATATCAAGTAATGGTGTGAAAATACATAGGAAACTACGAGCATTCCACAAACCCATGAGTTATTAGTTAGAATTTTAACATATGTGCAATCCAGAGAGAGAGAATGTGTGTTAAGGCAGTGGAGAAACCCGACGTGAGCTGTGATGAAAAGTTTACTGAAATGGGAAGTTCCCATTTCCTTCCTTCTTCTCTCCAGGCTTGAGGTCATACACTGGAGGTGCTCCTTGGGGTTGTTTGTAGTCTGGAGAATGCTGTCTAGATTTGAGACCAAGGATTCAGGTGGCTTTAGGCAAGTGACCAAAACAAATATAACTTTTTCCTGTTTCCGGTTGCCTTATCTCTTTTTCACTCCTTTGTGCAGTAATAGACATTGTATTTAATACTGAAAGTGAAAAGAAAGAAAGTGAAAGTGAAGTCGCTCAGTCGTGTCTGACTCTTTGCCACCCTGTGGACTGTAGCATGCCAGGCTCCTCCGTCCATGGGATTCTCCAGGCAAGAGCACTGGAGTGGGTTGCCATTTCCTTCTCCAGGGGATCTGCCCTACCCAGGGATTGAACCCAGGTCTCCCACATTGCAGGCAGATGCTTTACCATCTGAGCCACCAGGGAAGTCCAACTATTATTTAATAGTAAGTCCAAAATTATTTTCAAAACACATATTCCATTTTTCAAGAAAAAAATTCTTAAAAACCAAATACTATCTTTCAAGTTTTTATTTGAGCAATACATATATTATAAAAGATAACAGAAAAATCAACACAGACAATGGAATAAAATTATATTATCACCATAATTATATGATTTATTTATATATTACTTTCATTAATTGTCATTTTAAAAGTTCTAAGTATAGTCTGCTTTTGTTGTTGCTGTTCAGTCACCAAGTTGTGTCCAGCTCTTTGCGATACCATGGACTGCAGCACATCAGGCTTCCCTGTCGCTCACCATCTCCCAGAGTTTGCCCAATACATGTCCATTGAATCACTGATGAATCCAACTATCGCATCCTCTGTTGCCCTCTTCTCCTTCTGCCTAACCCCAAATAGTTAAAATAATACCCTTACTGAAACATACAGTGGTTACAGAGACTAATCATTTCTTGACTTAGTTAAGCCAAAGAAATAATTAAAATTGGTCAGTTCAAGGATATTAGGAACCAAGATATTCTTTTGGCCTTTGAAGGTGTCTCTTCAAACTCAGTAGAAGAGTTCAATAAAAACTGGCAATGAGCATTTTCAAAATCAAAGAATTTTATGTATATTATATAATCACTTGCCTATATAGTCATTTATCTATGGTCCATAGATTTTACCTTATGATAACATATATATCATGGTACTGGGCACACAGCAAGTACATAGCACTTTTTAAACTGAAGTGAACTGACAAACACCATTAATTATATCATTACTAACAACCTAGCTCAGTACTGCTTTTCAGACTTTCAATGACACGTTGGGCTAGGACATGATATTTAAGTACTTTAGATCCTTGGAAGAAATAGTAGTGTCCTAAAAATGAAAAAAAAAATGAAATATTTTAATTCTCTGATTGTATTGTTTAAAAAAAAAAGATGACCTAGGTTAGACAAGATCAGATTCAAGATTATAAAGTTGGATTCCTCAGTTAGATATCCTGCCCCCAGATATCTACCTATTACTAGTCTTTTCAATATAAATATCTTTAATGAGAAGGTTGTTTGGTCTTTAAGACTGACTCTTAAAAATGCAAATGCTTTTGAAAATTCACACTCCAGGTGGAGAATTCAGAATGGAAGAGAGGAGAGTGGACTCAGGTAGGGTACACAGAAGCTTTGATGGGGAAAATAAATAAAACATGGGGATAGGAATACAACCCAAAATATCTTGACCCAAAGATATCTTGCTTAGCCTGACCTTGCTGGAAGACATTCATACACACAAATTCAAATAAATTTAGGCTTCTTTCATCCCACCCTGAGACTCAGTCCATGAGAACCCATGAAGGGTGGAAGGGACTGAAAGGAAGTTAAAGAACTCAGGACATAACAATGTATAAAAGACTCCTGCTTGCCTTGACTGCTATCCGCTCGCTTACATATACTGTGCATCTTGACATGATAGAAATCCCAGAGACTCAGACATATAAAAGTGGCAAGAATTATCTGCTCTCTGTCTGATAGACCACCCTAGTATAAATCCATCTTTGATGCCACCTCACTCTTTCTTCTGGCCCACCTATTCTGAGCCAAAAAAATTGTAGATTTTCTCTCTGTGGTCCTATGGAGAACTGCAGAGTTCTTTCTCTTCCAATTTGGAGCCCTTTTTTCCTGATCTGGAAGACTCTATAATCCAGTATTTTAATAAGGGGTTTCCACTATGTTCATGGTTTCCCAGTCCACTTACTGTTGCAATAGAAGACTGCATCAATTTTCGGGCCAATTCCTGGGAAGTATGTAGTAATCAACTTGGGATAACCAGGGTCCATGAATTGTCTCCTCTCGTCATACCTGAGCAAAGAAATAACCAGCAGAAACTACATCAAAATATGGATTTCATGACATTAAGCTTGATATTTCATGGTTATGAATCACAAAACCTGCCTTATTCTCTTCTGGAACAGTTTAAACTGTACCCATTGGAAAACCAAGGACCTAAGCTGTTCACAGATTTACTCCAAGTTTCTATAGGACTCAAACCCTAAGCTTCTTGAGTTTCAATCAAGCACTCTCCCCGCTCTGCCAGAATGCTTCTGCCAGGGCTAGCTCCTGACTCTCTAATTTCCAGTTAATGACTTTGAACAATCTGCTGTCCCTCATAGCATGGTTCCCTCATTCTGTCTCCTTGGGATCCAACAGTTCTAGAAAGGAATCTGAAAATGCATACGCCCTGCAAACTGACTGCAAATACTAGGTCTCATACATCCACACCACTCTTTTTCAATTCATTTCTACTATGATTAGTAACATGACATTTTATTTAAAGTGCTCCTTTTAAAACATGCATTGTTATCTCCTATCATAAATCAACAGTACAGAGAAAAGAATTAGGTTGAAAACAACTGTTCCAGTGCTATATTATCTTGATCCCTCTTCCAGGAGAATCAAGGGCCTTTTTAAATTTAGATAGAAAAGCTGTCTTCTGAAAAATCCCATTCCCTGACTGTTTCACAAATCTTAGGGGTCAAATTATCAACCATGAAAGCTCACCTCCAAAACTTGTTACCTACAAAGAAGTAGGTCTTATAGAAAAGTGGGTTAAAAACAGCTGCATCAATTTTTTTCACTGAGGAGGGGAAGCCCAAAGAATGTATGCTCTTGGGATAGTTTAACTGTGGTTTCAAATTGTTCATTAACCAGTACTTGTCATCTATAAAGACAAAGAGAATGGGTACATTAGAATCATACAGAGAAAGTAACAGAAATACTGACTCAGCACAAGCAACATCATTCTTATTTCATAGATTCAAAATATGTTACTCCTGTTCTTAAACATGGTTTACCTTCTATGGCTCTGTATTTTTTTTTCCAAAGTATCATCATCTTATATTTTACAGAATTTTGCAATAAGCTTTACATATTACCTAAGTATATTTACCCTGTTTGGGGCTATATTTCAGAGCCCCTAATAATAAAAATCTGGAGCGCTTTTTAAAAAGTTCTTTAAATGTAGTACTATTTCCTTAATTTGTTCTCTTCCTTAGAAGTAGACTCAATAGCAAAACTAAACATTGGAATTACCTTTAAAAAGAAAAACATGGCTTCTGTCTGCAATTTCATAAGCAGCTTGAATGTGAGATGGTAGGTTTGGACCTAAAGAAGAAATTAAACTAATGCTGCTTTTTGGACTCTCAGCAAGCTTCCACCAGAAGAACCTGACAAGAAACATTTAACACATTAAAAAATCACCGTAGACTGAAGAATCATGAAGAGGGAAGGACCTGTGAAGGAACTTCATGTTTCTTTCCAGTAGCTTCACATTCTGTTCCATGGGCATTTGTGCAGGAGAACCACATGCAGAGGATTTTAATCACATCCAGTACTAGCAATGATCTTAACAGGCAGACTGGCATATGGAAATACATGGTGTTGGAACCAAAGTATCTAGGTTCTAGTCTGAGCTCACAACCCAGGCGGCAGTTCTGTAACCTAAAGGAAGTCAACTCAACCTCAAGTATCTCAGTTCCATAATCTCAATAATGGGGAATATTTGTTCTATCTATATCAAATACTAATTTTCTCCACTGACCCACACATCCAATATCTGGTTCAATATATATTCTAAGACAAAAACCATACGTCATCCTGGAATTCTCTTTTTAATAATCAAGAATCGAGTCCGGTACTCTGTCACAGCTTTAAGTCCAGATTTGACCATCTTAATTTAAATCTCAGTATGATTAAAATAGTCTGACATCCTTGCTACCTGTCTTATCTGTCCCCAACCCAGATTCTTGCCACAGATTCATTTTTTTACAGCTCAGTTTTCTAGTTAAAACAAATATAATCACACTGCTCTCCTGCTTCAAGATCTTCAATATCTCTCCATTGCCTTCAGAATCAAGTCCAAGTTCCTACTAACAGATTTTATCTACTTTGTTTTTTAAATCATTTTTCACCATCCTCTCACACACACACACACACACACAAATCTGAGGGATCAGCCTTTAATATTTGTTAGATATGAAAATGATCTTACCTGTCTTTAAAGAAAAAAATTTTATCTCCCACAGTAGTAACAGCATCAAAACTCATATTGGGGTCATAAGCAGCTGGGTTTGTACTGCCAGGATTTGATGGAATATGGTGTTTTTCTGGACGTCCTGAAAATACATTTCAAGAAGCATCAGGGAAAAAAAATGCCTTTTATTTTTAAGATGAAGAAACACTATAAAACATTCAATGTTCTTGATGAAGAATACGTAAAAAGCAATTTATGTTTTCTATAACATTCACAGGAAGCATATAATAAATATTTTTCCCCTGCCATGTAGTTGCGACATTGTGGAGAATAAAACTCTGATCACTCTGTTCTCCTGTTCTGGTTAGATTATTTCTCTATGTGCCTTCTTCAAAAGACAATGGTATGGTGGATAGGAAAAACAGATTTCGGACCAGAAGACTCAGGTTTTGCCTCTGGCTCAGGCATAACAAACTAGGTCCCCTTGTACTCATCCATAAAATGAAGATAATATCTGTGTTGCCTACCTCACAGAATTCTCATGGGGTTCAAAGAGAAGATAAATGTTAATGTTTATCCAAATACAGATAGTATGAGATTATTCATAAGAATGAGTATCTTTATTTGGCAAAATGGTGAAGAAATTCAACTCACCATAGAGAGACTGAATGCCATGTATGTCATCAGCAGAGAGGCGAAATATCTTGGAGTCAATATCTCTGTAGCTGGGAAACATTATGGCACTTGTATCACTGGAATGGCCAAGACCCAAGGAATGGCCAATCTCATGAACAGCAACTAGGAACAAGTTTGGGCCTAAGAGAGAACCAGTGAAATCTATTGGCATCTATAGAACAATGACACAACATCTGACAGTGAAAAAGGAAACTTTTAGAAATACCTCATATTCCTCCTTCATGAGCAAGCTTTTTCAGCCTTGGCACTGTGGACAGATTCCTCTTTGCTATCAGGGCTGTCTTGTGCATTACGGATCTTTATAAATCTCTCGTTTTACCGTTGAATTCAAGTAGCACCACTACCCTCTAGTTCTGACAACCAAATAAAATGTTTCCACGTATTTTCTTTTTCTTTTCTTTTTATTGGGGTATGAAGTGAAAGTGAAGTTGCTCAGTCGTGTCAGATTCTTTGCAACCCCATGGACTGTAACCTGTCAGGCTCCTCTATCCATGGGATTCTCCAGGCCAGCATACTGGAGAGGGTTGCCATTTCCTTCTCCAGGGGATCTTCCCCACCCAGGCATCGAACCCAGGTCTCCCACACTGCAGGCAGACTCTTTACCGTCTGAGCTACCAGGGAAATATTTGCTTTATAATGTTGTGTTAGTTTCTGCAGTACAGTGAAGTGAGCCAGCTATATGCATGCATATGTCCCCTTCCCTCTGGGACCTCCTTCCCACTCCCTCATCCCAGCCATCTCGGTCACAGAGCACCAAGCTGAGCTGCCTGTCCTATAGAGCAGTTCCCACCAGCTGTCTATTTTACGCATGGCAGTGCATGCCTCTGGTTAAGGACCGCTGCACTCTCAGACGAGTGAAATACGTTCCATTGTCAAAACTTCCGGAATGACTCACAGCTGTGTTCATTGCTCCTAAATAACTCTCAACTCACAAGACCTTGTTCTGCTTTTCCCTTAATCAGTCTTTGGTAACCTTCCTTTACAAAACTCAAGTCTAAATCAGTATTAAGTTCCAGGTGAGTCACTGTGAAAAACACCACATTATATCTAATCCTTATACAACCAAAAGGAAGTCATCTTGTTCTCTGTTTTCACATGAGGATACAGTATCAGCAAGATTAAATGACAAATTAAGTGCCTGAGCCAAAATTCACATCCAAATTTCTTGGCTCTAAAAATTTCTTGGATCACCCTTCTCCTAAACATGATTCCAAATGAAATCAGAGAGACTATATTTACACTTTGGACATATTTACACTACCACATTATAGTTGTAACTGTTTTTTTTTTTTTTCCTGTATGTCCCAGAGGCTGTACCTTTGTAGGTAAGATACAAGGGTGTGCTCTTTCTCTCAGATTTCCTAATTCTCAGAAGATTTGAAAATTCCTGATTTTTTTTTAATCTTCATTATAGTCTAATGCTTTCATTTGGTTGTTTCTTTCTCTTTTTTTTTCATTTATTTTTATTAGTTGGAGGCTAATTACTTTACAATATTGTAGTGGTTTTTGTCATACATTGACATGAATTAGCCATGGATTTACATGTGTCCCCATCCTGATCCCCCCTCCCACCTCCCTCTCGACCCGTTGGTTCTTTCTCTATGGCAAAAGGAAGCTCAGAACTGACTTCCCAGGGTCACACACCATTTAGCTACAGAGACGGATCTTGAAATACTCTCTAGAACCCAAGATGAGCAAAGAGTTCACAGCTCTCTGAGGGGGTCTCTAAGAATATGGATCCTCCAAGCCCTCCCTGTAAGTAATTCAGTAACTAATTCAGAGATGCTTCCACTTCTACCAAACAACGAGAAAGAAGAAGCAAAGACTAATTCTCTGCACTCTGCGTAAGACTAGGAAGAGTGAACAAAACCTTTTACGATTGGGCGTAAGCCTGAATTTATCTCACTCTCAATTCCTGCACTACTTGTACAAAAGATCACCACTGGTTCTCATCTCAAAATAATGGACTTTTGTTTGTGTTCTGTTTCCTTTTAGATTGTGTATTTCTCAGTGATAAGACTGTGCTCTTTTCATTTCTGAATCTAAGCACCCGCATCACCTAACTCCCTAATAGAAATTCAGTGAAGACTATGGGAACCATTCAATTAATTTACCGTGCCAAAAAGAAAAAGAATTTACTGTGTCCAAATTAGTCGAGAATAGGATTTTAAATTAGAATTTTCATAAATAATCCAGTCTTTTGAAAGCTTAGAATTAAGCAAATTAAAATAAGGCAACATGGACAAATAGAAAGTACACATTGTGCTAAGACAAGACCTAGGAAATAAATGGTCTGGTCCCAGCATTTTCCACAAGGTAGCCTCTAACCTTTTCTTTTCTCTATCTGTAAAGGTCTGTGTTAAATAACTTTCCTAAGTTTCTTTAGAATTTTAAAAATTCTCCAGGCTAATCAGCACGTTTCTCCTGTCAGATGAAAAGATTACAAACCCCAAATGCCTTTGGATAAAATTTGCACAAATTTAACATATTTACTGAGGATTTGAAGCTCAGCCAGGACCTAATCATTTGTCTTTTGACAATAAAAAAAAGTTCTCTTCTCAATCAAAGGTTTCATAAGCCTTAGGCCATGTGTCAAACTAAAACAAATAGCCTTTCAAATATTGCCATCAATGCAAACAATATCAACTGGGGGTGGAGATGATGTTGCTGAGTAGAGCACATTCTTGATGAATTTCTCTTTATTTCCCTTCCACATATGGTCAGTCATATAGTCTAGAATTTCCAATAGAAATATTAGGAAGGCCTCTGATGTGATGCCTTGAATTTTCCAGTGGATAGTGACTTCTCCAAATAACAGGGGATGCTCGTTACCCTCTTCCCCCAACTGTCTGGGATGGATGATGAGTTTTATCCCCTCTGTAAGTACACACAAGGTATTAAATGATCAATAGGGCATTTTGAAATTTTTATCCCAGAACCACAAGAGACTACCTGATCACACAACCTTGTGTTTCTTTATAGAAATCACTAAA